GCTCAGAGCCACAGCCCGCCGGGGCACCTGCGTCTTCTGAGGCAGTGCCCCGCCGTCACGGGGAGTCGAGTGAGAGACGCTGAGAGGAGAAGGGTCCTGGAAGTGGTGTAGCTGGTCCTGTGCTCCCCCCCTGGACACTCCAGGCGTCCCGTGACAGCTCTCCTGGAGCAGGGGCACAAACCGCAGTACTGCAAACCTTGCAAATCGGCGAGAGTAAGAGCAGCCTAGCCCCGATTTGCAGGTTCATGTGGCAGAGAGATTATCTTCATAGCACCATACAGGTTTGGGTTGGGCTTTTTTAAGAGATGGCATACACTCCCACTTTCCCTAGGAGTGAGGCATTTCTTACTCTTCCAAGCATATGGTAGCTGACATCTGTATCTGCTGGGGTGAGATCTAGCTGGAGCCCAGCTCTGGAGCCTTCAGCACAGGAAAGACATGGACCTGTTGGAGCAGGTCCAGAGGAGGCCACAAAACTGATCAGAGGGCTGGAACACCTCTCCTGTGAGGATGGGCTGAGAGAGTTGGAGTTGTTGAGCCTGGAGAGGGGAGACCTTACTGTGGCCTTCCAGTACTTAAAGGGGGCTTCTAAGAAAGATAGGCACAGACTTTTTAGCAGGGCCTCTTGTGATAGGACAAGGGGTGATGGCTTTAAACTGAAAGAGGGGAGATTTGGACTAGACCTAAGGAAATTTTTCACAATGAGGGTGTTGAAACGCTGGGAGAGGTTGCCCAGAGAGGTGGTAGATGCCCCACCCCTGAAGACATTCAAGGTCAGATTGGCCAGGGCCCTAAGCAACCTGGTCTAGTTGAAGATGTCCCTGCTCATTGCAAGGGGGTTAGATTAGATGACCTTTAAAGGTCCCTTCCAACCCAAACTATACTATGATTTTATTCTATGATCTAAACTGTCCTAGTTTTCCAGACTTCAGAAAATAAGAGTCCATACCCTGTGCCAGTTTTACTTCTCTAGTTGTATCCTATCTCCTCCCACCACTTTTGAATCCATTACTTGGCAACAGTGAAGCTCAGAGAAATAATAATAAAGATTACATTTTGCTCCCACTACCGTAGCTCTTCCCCTGTTCTGAAAAAGTCTCACCTTATTTTTGTAACTAGCCGGAGTGGTCTGACCGACAGGCAAAGGCATATGGATGCAACATCTTACTAGCATGCAAAATTCTGCATCATGAGTAGTTATTTCAGTTTATTTTGCTCAGATAAAAACAGAACTATAAAATATTTGGTACATTTTATTTAGCGACATACAAGAAAGAATATAAACTGCCACGTGTTAAACTTGCCACAAAACAGCTGGAGAATCATCCCACTCCCTCCGCCCTAAAATTAGGTATCCAAAGTGGTACTGTTCTGTGGAAAATCTGTACCAGAGAGCTTGTGGTACACCAGTTTATACTGCTGCTTCTTGATAATCTGTGTGGTGTAAGAGAGTCACAAAGTGCTCCGAGTTTTACTTCGTAGTAACTACATCTTCCTAAACATGTTCTTGTGATTTCCCCAACATGTGTGTTCCACTGAAATGCACAGAACCCAAAACAGATGGGTATCACAGATCTATACAGGCAGGATTCAAGTCCGTTCAAGACGACTGTATCAACAGGTCACAAAATAGAATGTATGATGGACAAGATAAAATACACAGTACAAGCTAAACATGCAGAGCACCCTTTTCAACGCTAGGTGTCGATACCATGGGTTCCGCCCCCACTATACTTTAGCCTTGTGGAGCTTAATGTTGGCATCACTGAGCAAGCCCAAATCACAATTTTAATTAAAGAATGCAGATATAGTTTCCTTCATGCCAGCACTACATCCACTCTCCTCTCAGTCACTACCGGTTTTAAAGTGTTTTTCCAAGCCATTAAAGGCACGTAAAATAATATATGGTTAGAGTAAAAGAAGTGCCATGATTTACTCTTCACCCCCATTCGCTGTTCCCTTCCTTTTCACTCTCACCCCATATCCCTCTATTACTCGAGTGGACCTAAATAATATTCTATTACCAAATGAATTTTGATCACTTCCATGCTGCATTCATTTGCAGCCCATCTTCATCCTGACACTAAAGTCTTTAGGAAACAAGTGCAGGAAGATGAAAAAAGCCAACAGAATTTAGGACTCCAATAGGGAATATTCTCACCTCTATTTCAAAGCGGCCATAAATTCACTCACCTAGATCATGTCCGGCTGGTAATAATTTCTTTCAAGACTGTTTAATTTCAGTTCTCGTCACTCATTTTATCCTATGGATCATATGACTTTTTGCAGTAATCCTTTCCAAAGGATTCCAAAGATAAGGCTGAAGGTGTACTTGGGGAAAAAAATGTTTTAATCAATAAATTTTTACAAAATCCTCACAGACCCTCAGTGAGGTAGGTATGTATTCACTCTCATTTTCACATACAGGGAACTGAGGCACAAAGAAGTTACTTCCCCGTGGTTAGAGTAAATCAGTGACACAGGAAAAACTGCAGTTAGTTCCTGCCTTTCAATTTCGTGCTCAATTTGTTACACCAGGCTGCCTCAAAGAAGTGTGAAACAAAGTGTATTTTGTTTTTATTAAGAAAACAGACACTCAGATGTCAGTAGACTTTTTCTTAAAACCTCAGGGTCTTCTCTTAAGTGAAAACCATTCCTCGAAAGAACTGGTTAAATACCAGGTTTTGAGGTGGGTTGTTTCTATTAAGCCATGCAGTGTAGCATATGAAGATTTTTAAACAAAAACTCCAAGACATCAGAATGTGTACACATTCTTATCTGCCATCACCTTAAACCACAAGGCCTGCTTTTTGCTACAGTCATTTGCTTCTTGCACTTACATTGAGTGCAAGCACTAAACCTAGACAAGTCTGTTTAGCTCCCCCATTCTTAGGACAAACCATTAAGCATAATTTAGGATTTTCAAAAGCAATACAAATATTTAAAGTTTAATCTACAAAGTGTTGAGTTAAAACCATGACTATACATGTGATCACACTTCTATTAATATCAGAACTTAAAGAATTTTAAAAATAAACCAAAAGGACATATCTGGAATACATGTTAGCATCCTTTTAAGGCTATACATGACCTTGTTTCTCAAACAGCAAATACCAGCATCCTTTAGGGATTAGAGACTAAACACTCCTCTCTTCCCCAGCCTTAAGCCACTCTGCAATTTAGCAATTTGACTGGCAGGGCAGTATAACCATCTTATTTGGGCACCATCCAGTATGTCCAACAGAAGGTCAATACAGTACAATGCATTTCCAATATAGTACATGACTGTAGCAGCATATAGACCCCAAGTAATAGTCTCCAGAACTGCCTAGAGAAATTTGGCTGACATCAGATTAAGTTAGTATTTGTGAAGAGACTTAGCAGGTGTGTGTCTCTGTGAACCTCCAGCTTTTCTCCTGCTCTGGAGTTAATGCCCCACAAATAAGGTAATTTTACCTTTATATAGCATCAAAAAAATGTTTGGTTTTCTTTTAAAAAATATTTTTCTCCATAAACATAGACTCAAATGAAATGAATATTCTTAATTTACAGTCTGGGTCAGAGACTCCAAAAAACAACTTAGTTGGTTATCAGCTCGCAGTAGGGGAAGACAAGAAAAATACGTAGTTTAGGACTGACAGCTCAAAATAAATACAGAGGAAAATTTATTTTTTTTTTAATGTGGATGATTTCTCAATAAAAATAAAATCATGCCAATTTTACCACTCCAGTAGTGTCTTAGTATCTGAAGCAGCAATAACAAAATCTTCATAGAAGTGTTTGTGGTGAGGGGTCCAGACGATACTCCTGCCTATCTGGTGAACTAAACAGAACTCAGACTCTTAATAGTGAGAGCCTTTCTCCAGTGCCATTGAAGAATGGCACCAGTCTATCATTAACTCCAGATACAGGTTAAAAAAAAAAAACAAACAAAAAACACCATTAGCAAAACCTGCTTGAAATGTTTTCTTTCAGGGCTACAGAAAAATTAGCCAAATTCTTTATTCCACTAGTAGTGAAACTGCCCCCTGCCATGGCAATGGTTACACGATCACATTATCTCCAGTCTACTTCAAGTCCATATAAAGTCACATTTATTTAGACTTAACACACATGTTTTCCAGTGATGCTTCTGGTTTAGGCTCCAGCTTCTCTGGGAATTCTAGTTTTTCACAGATTGTCTCCTTTATGGGTAGATACTGAGAGATCTCATTAGGTTCCGTGAACAGGGAAGGTGGAACGTGCTAAGAAGCAAAAATGTTACATGGAACAAGTGAATGAAGGTGAGGGGGAAGAGGGAGAAAAGGTATTCCAAAACCAATCTTTTACAGACAATCTACAATTTACCTGATTTAAACACCTGAAGCCAGGTATGATTATTATAACTTCAAATGTACATACAGTCTTTTGTTCCTTGTGTGGATCAATAGGCTAAGGAGAGGTATTTAATGTTTTTAAGCAGCAGATTGTAAGAGCACAGGAAAGTCAGAGACAGTAATGAACAGCTACAATGTTTTTTAAAAAAATATTTATAATTTCAATGTAACAAACAGTCTTTTTGAGGTTCTAGTTTTAGATGAGACTAGGATAGCCACAAGGGATCTCATGCTTTATGTCTTCTAGCCATTGCAATATATTCACTGGAGTTGCTCAGATTTAGCTGTTGATAATTGATATGCCTCAACATGTATCTTAGTTTTATCAGGTCCACCACAGACATTTATATGAAATACTAAAACTCATTGGATTTGAATTTCAGATTTGAAGAAATTGGGTGGTTTCATTAAGTTAATCATTATTTTTCTCCAGACATTCCTGTAGACAATTTAACCTCATACAAGACATTTGATGGGAAAAAAAAAAAAATACATATACATACTGAGCAGATCACCTTCAAACTTTCTAACAACGTTCTTTAAGAAGTGTATCCAGAGCTGTTCAAATGCAACCTGTGTTTTGGCTAGGCCTAACATGCAAGGAATCATACTGCTGTTTCAATTATTTCAAACCTAAGCGAAGCAGGAATCTTTTTTGCTTTAACTATGCGAGCTGATCTAGGGAACTGAAAAGCCATATACATTTCCTCGCTATAACAACAGGCAGTCAAAATTACTTAACAGCATAGATAATTTTTAAACATGAGATGAAGTAAAACCTAGATCACTGATTTAGATTTCAAAAACCACTAAACTATCAAAAAGTTCAGGTCTGGATTTAGCCCTGTTTACAGGGATCACATTGTTAAAAAATGATACAGTGCCCCTTTCCTCAAAAGGAAAAGCATTTTGCAGAAATATTCCCTCAGAAGATTAGTAACACATTAGCCACTTTTCACTGGTAAAGGAAAAACAAGGGAGAAGGAAAGTAACAAGATTACCCAAGATCAGGTGTTGGGTCAAGAACAAAAATCAACAGCTGCGACTCTAAATGTGCCACAAATTATTCTAAGCCATTACTAGAATTTTAAGGTGGGCTATTAAACTTATTTGAGGAAAAACTGAATGAGTCTATTACCAAACAGATTTTAACCCCTAATACTACTTGCAAGCATACAACCAGTCCTGAAATTTAGTGTTGTGGGACATGGACTGCCTGATTTTGTGGCTGAACAGTTCTATGAAAAAATAAAGTAATAAAAATATCTTGTTAACTCAAAAGTAGAAAAAGTCACCCAACCCCATGTCTTGGCATGTGATCTGAACCTTCACAAATGCAAATCTGCCATGAAATCACCAAAATAGGTGTTGTGTAAGCAGAAAGGTTTTTCCCTGGTATCAATTCAAAACTTAACAAGGAATGACTTACAGACCCAGTATTTTCTATGATGACCATAAAACAATTTTAAAAAGCAGACAGGAAAAAATAAAAGCAATACCTTTAAACTTGATATTTTGCTTTCTCTGGATGTATATTCTCGCAACATGTAGGCCTTGTCAGCCTATTGGAAAAAAAATGGCAAAATTAATTACAAAATTATCATTTACTAGTAGTGCAAGATAAGCATTTAAAATACATTTCATTTAGTAAGCATTTGAATTTGGTTGAACACGGATCTTCACTGGGGAGCAGAAACGTACAGTCAAATTCATGAAGACAGAGAAAGATGTTTAGCAATGTTCTCTTTCCCAAAAAGCACCTTTCTGTGTGCATGCATGAAAAAAAAAATTCTATGACTGAATATGCTTGTTAATCTTTACTCAGCTAGAGCTCCTACATGAGCACAAATGCACTAGACAGAATAAGAAAACCACAACCATTACATTCTGTATTATTTATGAGATACTAGAACACACTTGCAGCCATATATTAGACAAACCAAAAAACATTTACTTTGAGATGAGGATAAGAACAATATCACACCATTTACTGTTGCCTATTTTTCCTCTTGTACTTCCTCTCTAATCTGTGTCTGTCAAATATATTTAAATGATTACTTCACATAAGGGGTAGCCTACTCTTCTCATACAATACCTAGCCCCATGGCATCCAGCACCACTGCAATAAAGTACTACACTTGAAAGTTCAGTTCAGGTAACCTCTATGCTCCAAACATCAGTATTACATTACAGGAATATCAGCAGGTCTTCTCTGAAAGTAACATGGCAAGGGCGCATCTGTGAATATTCATGATGGTGAATAAGGGTTTACCTCATGATGAAGCCTTGTATCATTCATCCTGATAAGCACCCCATCAACTCGCAAGAAAAACCTCAACAGCACAAAAAAGCTGGAAGGCATAACCCTCTGCAAAAATAAAGATGTCCCATTCAGCATATTACAAAGTTTTACTTTAAGTATGCACTTATCTACATCAGATATTCACAACGAAAGATAGTATGAGGAGCTTTCAGTAGTAAAGTCACAGTTTGGGCTGTTGATATGCTACAGCTATCATTGGACAGCAGGGCAGACAGTGTCTCAGAAGATTCTTCGGCAGGATGCAGAAAGAGGGAAAGGACTGTTCCCTGAAGCAACTGACAGATTTCAAGACAACATAGTTTCCAGGAAGATTATATTTCTAAAAGCGAGGATAAAGAACTTTACATTTTAAAATTTAAATCCCAGAAGGAACAACATGCTAAAAGTGAATGTATTTTGCATATATTAGCTGAGTCACCAAGCATCTTGTATGCACCTCTCAGTACTCACTATTTTTACACTCAAACTTGATACTCCATGGTCATGAAGTTCGTCTTCAAACAGAAGTACTTCTTCAAAAAACATAATTTGTTCCCTGGCTTTCAATTTCTCTGTATTTATGTGTTCTGTTGTAGGAACAACCTAGAGAAAAAGATTAAGAACAGTTAGCATATTAACTTGTTGCCAAGCTACATAAAGTTTGTCCTGATCTTTTAAATTCCACAATGGCTAGTTTTAGAAAGGAAAAAAGCTTTTAGGGCACTAAGCTTAAAACATCCCATATTTCTAAGAGAAAAAGTTAAAATTAAAACCAAAGCTTCCAAGAGGAAACATCAATCAAAGCAAAAACCAAGAGTGGAAAATTCTGAATAAACTTCCTCTGGGTACAGGCTCAGTAGGGTTTCAGCTGCAAACAATTCTGCTCATTTTCTGCATTTCAAAACATTTGAAGATGCCTCGTGTTTAACATACAAATTAGAAGTGCTGGGTTATAAACGGGACTCCATGCATTTAGTATCTCTAGCTCACTACAAACCCTGAATAGGATTCTAATAAAGCCTTTCCATGGAAATCAAGTACCTATATGTTTTCCATCTCATGGTCTCCATATACACTCATACACTTCCGCTGCCTAAAGACTACAGGCCAACAAGACATCATTTATTTCTATGCTGCACTTTTAATTGCAGAATAACTCAAGTGTTCCATAACTAACACAATCCTAGTAAATTACTATAGATTATCTGCTCAGTAGCAAGCCATCACAAGGAAGGGCCTGTGAGTTTAAATATGAGGAGTTACTGTTGCAGAAAAACATAAAGCCATTGAAAGCAGCCAGATCTACGTATCTGCTTAGACAAACGGGCAAGCAACAGAGAGTAAAGTACTAGAGAATTATACAGTTGATAGTTCTGTTGTGTGTGAAGAGCTCAGGGCTTCAGAGGGGCATCCAGTAAGCACCGAAGATTCCCATGTGCTTTACTCTGAGTTAAGTCCTCACTAGGAGACACAATAGCACCCCTTCTTATAATCCTAAAATGCTTTTTAAAAAGACCAAAACAACCCAGTTATTAAAATAAGCCATGCTTTAATTACGATAACATGCTGAGAGACATACAAAACTGAAACTATACTTCGAAGTCAGAAACTGTGAAGCATGAAAGATTTTACAGAAGCCTACTGAAAGGTAAATGACAGCTTAAAAAAAAGTGTTGTGTTTGACTGAAATAATATGCAATCAGCATTTAACAAGAAGAAAATGGTTACCTTTAACGTTGCCGTATCTCCCAGCAATGTTCCTTTGTAGTCTGTTGTGTAAGTCCAATCATATGGCTTGACAACTTCCTTAGTGTGCTCAGTCTCACTCCTCAAGAAGTGAAAGAGAAAACAGCATGCTTTGCAGTAATTCTTAAAAAATTACAACCTCATGTAAGATTATGTATTACAACTTCCACGTTCTTCAAGAAGAAAGACAGCAGCATTATCTGTGCTGCAATGATGTCAAAACTTAATCATACAGTATTGCTTCTTTCACAACATGTTTCTGTAATAAATCAGAAAACTGTTTCCCAAATTCCTGTGCTAACACAATCTCAGTCCTATGAATCAAAATAAAGATTTCAGTTCAACGGTGTTGAAAAATTTGTATTTCAAGATCAGTTTTTCTATAAGTAGGCAGAAAGCAGTCTTCTGGTGACACACAGCAATCATTAACACTGCTATTTGCCTTAGTTTTCATGACAGCTTTGATTTATTGTGCTTATATGTGCTTTATTTCTAGGTGCTCTGCAACTAATTTGGTAAATACTAAGCTGTACAATAGTTCTCATGCATAGTTCTGCTATATTCCTAAGGCCAAGATTTTGAACACGTACAGCATTTTGCACTTTGAAACTCCACACAATACAATCTTGTAATGCTTAAGTTTGAATAAACAGAAACAGTATTAAGCCATGGTAAACATGTAGTTTATTTTAAGAAATAAACTACAAGACACAACTGAAAAATAGAGTTGACCCAATTTAACAGACAGGATGATCATGGCAAAAAAAAGCTAAGTGACTTATATGATCACACACGGTATCTACGGTAGAACCAAATGCAACATGGTCTTCAAGAGTTCAGTTTGTTCTTTTGACTACTTTATGACAGTTTCACATACAACACACCAGTACTTGCCCACCGGTGATAAAATACTGTACCTGCTCTCTTGCCACTCCTCTGCACAAGCCACTTTGATCATACCTTGACAATTATTCACACATTTTAAAGCATCTGTTGCATTGAACTCAATTCCAAAACCACGATCGTGCTGTATTCTTAGGATATTGTCTCCAAACATCATCTCTGGCAGGGAAGGCATGTGTAGTTCATCAGCCAATCTGCACAGAAAAATAAGAGTCCCATGAAGACAGATCAGGCATCAATAGTTCAGTGAAAGCAGTCCCTTGTTTTGGAATAAGTATTCTTTAGACCACAGTAATTTAGAAGACACATCATCAATCTGTTCTGCAAAACTTTGTTGTTTCCCCAGTTTAATCATTTGACACAAATTGCAGAGTCATTGATCCAAAGTGACTTTCCCACCACAAAAAACATTCCTTCTCCATCAGGCTTGTGTAAAAGTCTCCTATGTGAGGAATAAAAAAAAAAAATCATCTGATAAGCATGAAGTAGCAGCTTTCAACTTTGGCAGGTGCCCAAAAAGAAGTTTTAGGAACAAGCATTCATTGTCAGCAAGTTTAAATTCACTACACAGTGGTCTATACCTCCAAATTTAGAAGCCTACAAAAAGGGGCTGAAAACATCCCTGGCAGAGTATGTGAAAAGCACAGAAGACACTACTGTGCTCTACTACTTTCCCAAGCTGGCAGAGAACACATACCGGTATTTGTAACCTTAAGCATGAAAGCCACAGCCACAGCCTCAACTGAACAAAGTACTGCATGAAACAAATAAGCATGACCCCTGCAGAAAACCTCAAAACATCCTATTTCACTTTTTGGTTTACATCAATTTTATACTTATTTATACATATGTATATAGATACATACACTATATATAAATACATACACACAACATGCCTATTTGTATACATATTTACCTTATTTACCAAAAGGCTTCATGGACTCCTTCCCTACCACTACTTACTTTACTTATCAAGGTTAAAAAGAAATACATGACAACTGGAGAGAAGAAAACTTTAGAAAATACACCAATTATAAGGGAGGGAGGCCGAGAGGAAGTGTTCTAATCACAACTTTCACATTGATAATAATGCATTCCTGAACAAAAGTGGTTATTTCTGTAACCTTGCATACAAAAGAATGTTATGCTGACCAAACTGCAATAAAAATAGCGAATTTGTAGATCTGGAGAATAAGATACTATGTTTTTCCCACACAAGGCAGAGTAACATTATGAACTTTTTCATTTCAGCACCTGCAGGCCCCTTAACCTGCAAAGGCCAACTCCAACACAGAAAAGAGTTCTTAGCTATGGCATATTTAATCCTTCACCTTTCCACAGAGGTTGCCAATGAATTTTTGTGATATATATTTGCCAGAAATAAAACTCCTACAGATGCTAATGATGCTCCCCAAGCAATAAAAAAGGCAAAATGCCAAGAGAAATAAATTATAAAAGGAAACTGACTAAAAGCGCTGCAACTGGATAATTCTTGACCCTTCATATTTGAAGTGAAGGAATTGTTTTGGGGATCTCATACTAGGTACCAAGATCTATAGGTAAACAGCTAATTTTGGACTTCTTTTCCCTACCCTGCAAAATCCTCTGTGTTCTTTCAAGCTTGTGTTGTGGCTCTTGCAATTTTAATTTCCAGCCTTTTTCAACATGTTCTGAAAAACTGTGTGTCCTTGAAAAAGATCTAAATGGATAAAGGTAATTTCTGACAATTACAGAGGTGACTGTCTGTTTTAAAATAGCTACAGTTAAAGAAACTGAGTAGATCAGAATATGAGTACAGCAGGCAATTTGTCTTCTAGACTAGCAGTTCAAGTCTCTCTCCTGTTTACAGGTAAGAAGGAGAGTTAACATCCTCCTGATCTTATGAATAAAGATCTTCTTTTTTAAGACATAGCATTTTACAAAATAAGTCCTCACAAACAACCCATAAAAATGGGATACTCTAATAATAGCCCTCCTTCCCCTGCAGGACACAGGTACAGCTTAGCTGCATCTTGAATCCTCATTACAGAAAAATGACTAAATCACAGGATTCAAGTTTTCTTATCTGTAACTGCAAAAACAAAAAGACTATTAGTCAGAAGCACTTTGAGAAGATTATTTTAGGCATTGAACACATGATAAAGATGGAGGAAGGAACATATTTTTTACCTGTTTTAAGGCAGATACCCAGGTTTTTTTATAAATCAGTATAATGCTGTTATGTTAAAAAACTTAACATTTACGTAGTTTACATAATAAGAAGTATGTAACATCATACAAATGACCTTCAGAAAAGTTAAAAGCAACTAGAATGAAGATACATTTAACAAGACTAACAGGACTTTCATGTATGTATTCCAGAAACCAAAATAAGAAGTATTTGTCAGCTATGGCACTACAGAGCTGAACTGTTCAGTTCCACATTAGCAAATCTGACTTAAGTACTTGATGCTGACACAGAAGCATTTTCTCCAACAGCTTGACAGCAGTGGAAATGAATACACGGAGATAGCAAATAATAAATTTTGAATGACCATCCAAAACCAGCCGTTACCACGAAATAGCTTATGAGAATCAGTGGACCACATTTAAATGAACCATAATCACCACTAAAAAGTAATTAAGAAAAACAGGCTTCTAATTAGCAGGCTTCTGTTCACAGAGGTCCAGATCTCCAAAACCGTTAGCAATCATTAAGAACAGAATTCTGGAAAACACCTGTAACTCAAATCATCCCAGTTTCTTAAGCCAAAGTATCAA